GAATCCGAGTCGGAGTCCGAGTACGAGGAGTACACGGATAGCGAGGATGAAATGGAGCCGCGTCTCAAACCTGTCTTCATCCGCAAGTAGGTGACACGGTTGCACGGGCCGGCCCTGGCAGGAACTCAGGAGTCACAAGCTCGGGACTGAGCAGACCCCACTGCCGTGGTCCCTTCCTCGCCATGGGGCAGCCATTTGCCTCCCCCAGGTGGGATGGTCACAGCCTGGCAGGGTATAGCTGAGAAGTGAGGGGCGATCCTGTACCCACAGCCTCTCATCAGCTGCACTGGTCACTGCAGGATCACGCGGTGGAGTCTGAGTGGAGCCCTCGGGTGAGGGCCGTACAGTGGCAAAGGGATGTTGTAGCCCCCAGAAAGAGGAAAGGCCCAGGGCTTGGCCTATGCCTGCAGAGGGCAAAGGCTGAAAGCGGCTGCAGTGTGGGAGGGGTTGGAGTCAGTGGGGGGCCAGGCAGCTGTGCTGGCTGAAGGCTGTTGTGGTCTTGCTCTCAGGAAGGACAGGATCACAGTTCAGGAGCGAGAAGCAGAAGCCCTGAAGCAGAAGGAGCTGGAGCAGGAAGCAAAAAGGATGGCAGAGGAGAGGCGCAAGTACACGCTCAAGGTGCAGAGGGTTGGGCTAGGGGTCGCGGGGGGGCAGTCACTACAGCAAGTTTATCTTGGACCTTGCTGCAGATCGTAGAAGAGGAAGCAAAGAAGGAGCTGGAGGAGAACAAACGCTCGCTGGCAGCATTGGATGCTCTTGATACAGATGATGAGAATGATGAGGAAGAGTACGAGGCCTGGAAGGTCCGTGAACTGAAGCGCATCAAACGGGACCGTGAGGAACGAGAAGCGTATGTATTGTCTGTGCAGACATGAGGCTGAGAGCCCACAGGCTCCTCTAAAGAAAAGGCACCTCTTCCTCAGGCTGCCCTTTGGCAGAAGGGTCCCAGCTGGACCAAGTGCCCAGAGCCCTTCCTGCCTGCCCTCAGGGCAGCTTTGCTCCGTGACAGTAAATACGTAACCCCTCAGGTGGCAGCTGGTGATAGCTGCTGTCCTGGAAGCTGCCCTGGGGACATGGGGGTCTCAGGGTCTTCTCTCTCACCCAGCATGGAGAAGGAAAAGGCAGAGATCGAGCGCATGCGGAACCTGACGGAAGAGGAGCGCCGAGCTGAGCTCCGGGCCAACGGTAAAGTCATCACCAACAAGGCAGTGAAGGGCAAATACAAGTTCCTGCAGAAGTACTACCACCGAGGCGCGTTCTTCATGGTGAGTGTGCCAAGGGCTGGGCATGGCCACAGGGGCTGTGCCAGACCCCAGGGCCACCTTTTTGCTCTGGGCAGCCTTCCCTATCCTGCAGTGCTCTGGGGCTGAGGTTACCCTGGGACAAGAGCCAGCCCGTAGAGGTGTCATGGGGCTGAAGCTGACTCAGCATGACCTCACTGGACCACATCAGGTTGAGGGTTCCCAGCTGAGGTGAAGCCAAAGCTGCAGAGCTGTCCCCATGCTGCTGTTTGAGCCACAGACCCAGCCAGAACCAAGTTAATTCCATGTGGGCTATGGCCTGCATGTTAGGGAAGTGGCCTCGGGGACAATTCTCACATCCCCCCATCCAGCAGTAGTTAATAGGGATACAAGTACCGTGGCAGCCCTGGCAGAGCAGCGATACAAACTGCGGGCGACTCCCCCACTTCTGGTGCTGGCTGGAACCTTTGAGGCTTAGCAGGCATGTTCTTTTTCTGCAGGATGAGGATGAGGAGGTGTACAAGAGGGACTTCAGTGCCCCAACCCTTGAGGATCACTTCAACAAAACTATCCTGCCCAAAGTCATGCAGGTGGGTGCACTGGCAGAGGGTGCCCAGCCCATGTGCCAGGCCAAAGGGTGGGGTTCTGGGCCGGGGGGAGCAGCAGATCCTGTAGCCCCCCTGAGCAGCTGCTCACGAGCTCTTCTGCTCCCCAGGTCAAGAACTTCGGGCGCTCAGGGCGGACTAAGTACACGCACTTGGTGGACCAGGACACCACGTCCTTTGACTCTGCCTGGGGCCAGGAGAGCGCACAGAACACCAAGTTCTTTAAGCAGAAGGCAGCAGGCGTGCGGGATGTCTTTGAGAGACCCTCAGCCAAGAAGCGAAAAACCACCTAAGGGCACGGGCAGGAGGGTCTGGCGTGACTGATGCTGGCAGGAGGGCACTGCCCTGCCAGCTGCCGGAGCCTGGGCAGGGACAGAAAGGATGCGTGCTGGCACTCCTGTGGTGACAAGCTCTTCCTCTGCCTGTGCTGTGCCTGCCCTGATGTGGTGTCCCACTGCCAGTACTGCACAGACCAGGTGGGCTCCTTGCCTGTGCACTGTAGAGGACAATGGTCTGCGATGCTGGCCAGGTCCATGGACAGACCATGTCCCACCAGCTGCCAGTCTGTAGCCTCAGCAGCACCTGGCAGGCTGTGCAGGAGTGCAGCAGCACCCCTGGATCCAACACGCCCACTTGTGGAGGAATTAGAGGACTTTTGTACCCATCTGTTCCACAACACCTTCCCTTTGCTTGTACTATCCCTGGTGTCAGTCTGGGCCCTATTTTGGGGTCGGCAGTGGTGACCCTGTCTCCTCACCCTGTTCCTGCAAGGTTTGGCTTTTCTACCTGTGGGGGATAGGGGGTTTGATTAAAGATTTGATTTTTCTTACACACTCTGGCCCTATTGTTCTTACAGACATGGCCACCATCTTCTGCACCTTCCTGCAGAGTGGGCACCAGCCTGGGCAGGGCATGCACAAGTGGCTGTCACTGCTGCCTCAGGGGGGTGAGGTTAAAAGGGGGAGTGCAGCAAGTGTTGGTGCTCAGGCAGGTCACCTTGTCCTGCTCCAGTCACAGGTGTGCCCAGCCAGTACTGCCAAAGTGATACCACACACATCTTCCTGCAGCCTGAGCCCCACCTGTGGGTCCCGTGAGCCCTGTGGGACCTGCTGGGCAGGTCCTGGCACTGCGCAGACCACAGAGACAGGCCAGTCCCACCAGTGCTTTTATTGGTGCAGTGAGAGCCATGCCCGTGGCCCGGCTCAGTTGGTGAGCGTGATCAGGGCCTCTACCACGTTGCCCATGTGCTCGCGCAGACTGCGCTCGGCTGCGGCCCGGGAGATCTCCATCTCCGTCATCTGCAGGGAAACCACAGCCCGGTACAGTAGGTGGCAGGGCCCACGGGCTGGGCAGGGGGTGGTGGACAGCAGCCACCCGGGGGAACACCTGCCCGGCCTCAGGGTTCCCGTGCACCAGCCTCCTCCGGGTTTGGGACACGCCATGGCCCGCCCGGCGTCCCGCCTCTACTCACAATCAGCTCCAGGTCCTCCTTCTTGATGGTCACTTTTGCCAGTTCTTTCTCCCTACGACAAGAGACGGACAAACCTCCGATGATCGAAAGCCCTCCCCGGTCACTGCCCCGGCGCAGCAGTGCGGGGTGTGTGCTGAGAGAGGGCGGGGGACGGGCCGGGATGGTCAGACCGGGAAGTCGCGGGCCGGTGTCCGGGCGGGCACTGCCCTCGAGCTCCGAGCGAGCGCGGGCTGTTACCTCTCCTGCTTTGCTTTCTGCTCCCGGGATCTCCGGTCTCCGATCACCGACATGGCCTGCCAGAACGAGCGCAGTCACCGCGCTGCGCGGCACCGGGCGGGTCAGCGCCGCACCGCGGCACGGGCACCGGGATCGGCACCGGCACAAACGCGCGGGCTCGGCGCTCAGGGCCTGGCTCGGCCCCGCCTCAGGCAGCGCCGAGCCCCCCACCCCGGCCCGGTCCCGGTCCCGGTCCCGTCCCGCCGCCGCACCGTCTCCAGGTTGGAGCTCTGGATTTCCTTCTCCTCCGCGTAGTCCGTGACGCGCTCCAAGTCCGCCGCGCCGCTGTCGTGCTTCCGCGGCTTCTCGGCCGCGCGCCCGCCCGCCCCATCGCTGCCGCCGCCGGAGCCGTTCGGCTCCGTCTCCAGCTCCAGCTCCACGTCCCCCTCCGCCGCCATCCCGCTGCTGCCGGGACCCGCTTCCGGTCACGTGCGCCGCCGGCGCGGCGAGCGAGCGGCGCGCGCCTAACCGCGGTGGGGGCGGGGCCTCGCCCGGCCCGACCCCGCCCCTCCGCCCGGCCCCGCCCCTCCGCCCGGCCCGCCCCCGCCCCGGGTCCGCCGAGGGCCGGTTCCTCTCGGTGCTTCCTCTCGGTGCTCCCCGGGCCGTCCGGGCCCTTTGGTCCCTCCCGGTGCTCCGGGGCCGGCGCTACCGAGACGCGGAGCTGGGCCGGGCGGGCGCAGCCCCGCCGCCGCCCTCTGGTGCCCGCCGGCGCTAAACCGGGATTACTGGGTCAGCGATCCCGATTTGGCTCCCGCCGCTGGCACACGGATGATCGGACGGGCCCGGCCGCAGCGAGGCCCTGGCCGGGTCTCGGGCGCTGCCGGAGGCGGCTGGGCCGTGGCCGTGCGACCCCGAGCTCGGGGTACGCTGGGCCGGCGGAGGCCGCCCCGGCAGCGCCGCCCCGGCTGCCGCTCCCTTCCCGCACGGGTGTTACTCACGCACCCGATGGGGACACCGCGTCCCTCGGGCCGGGCTGCGTGCGCAAAGCCGGAACGGCTGCGGAGCAGCTGAAGGAAGGTGACGACAGCCCCAGCTCAGGGCTCCCTGCACTCCCTGGCTCGTCCCCAAGCTCCTGCCGACACCGGGGGTTCCCGCTCCCCGCTGGATGTGCCTCATGCCATCCCCCTACCCCGCGTGGTACCCGTGTCCCTTGGGTGCCTCTGTGCCTGGGGTTGCTCCAGACCCCCAGTACCGCACACCCCACAGCTCCTGCGCACGGGGTGTTGCTCTGGGATCAGGTTGACATTATCCACAGCCCCCACGTGCCCCCCATGCCCGCCTGCGCCCAGGCCGGCTTCCACGGCTTCGTCCTGCCCAGTGGGGGGCCGGGGTGCGGGCAGGGCTGCCCATGGCTGGGGATCACTGGGTACTGCCCACGGAGCGTCCCAGGGGTGGCTGCCGGGAGGGAGCAGCGAGCAGATGGCAGGGCGGGCCAAGCCGACAATCCCCTAATCCCATCAGCGCCGCGGGGGCTGAGCAGAGCCGAGCCGGGCCATGGCGGGCACACGGGCACACGGCTACCTCCTGCACCCGCTGCTCTCCCAGGTGGGACTCGGGGCCTGGCGGGGCTGGGAGTGGGGGTGGGAGCAGGGCTGGGCGAGGAGAAGGTGCCGGGCCAGGCTTGGGGGACAGTGCTGGCCCTGCGGGATCCTCGCTGACTGTGCCCCCCCCCCCCCATCCTCAGCTGTGCTGCGGTTGTCATGGGCTCCGCATGTCGACGAACACGCGGATCCTCTACACGCTCCTGCATGTCCTGGCCTCTGCCGTGTGCTGCCTCATGCTGTCCCGCACTGTGGCCCAAGCCATCACAGAGAAGGTGACAGCAGGAGCTGGGACATCCAGGGTGCTGGGAGTGCTGGGGGTCCCCTGGGGCGATGAGGGTCTCAAGGGTACCATGAGTGCTGGGGATACGGGGGTGCCAGGCACCCTGGGGCACCCAGGAGAGCACTGGGGGTGCCAGAATTGCCAGGGAGTCAGGAGTACTGGGTTGTTGGGGATAGTAACAGGGCTGCTGGGAGTGACAAGGGTGCTGGAGGTGTCAAGGGGAAAGGGGTGCAAGGGCTACCAAAAGGTGCAGGGTATTAGGGGTCCCAGGGTTACTGGGGTGGCATTGGGAATGCTGGGGATATCGGAAGTCTGGGTGCACTGGATGCCATGGGTCCTGGAGGGTGCTGGGTGGAAACACCAGCAGCCCTGTCCCGTCACCTACCGTGCCTACAGGTGCCCTTCTCGGTGGTGCTGTGCCAACACCTGCCTGGGGGCACAGACTGTGAGCGGCTGGTGGGCTCCTTGGCCGTGTACCGGGTCTGCTTCGGCACCTCCTGCTTCCACCTGGCACAGGCTGCCCTGCTGCTCAACGTGCGCTCGAGCTCTGACTGCCGTGCGCAGCTCCACAATGGGTATGGGCGGGCTGCGGGGCTGGAACAGGGTGTCCCAGGATGGGGCTGCCAGGGGCTCTGTCCCACTGATGTTCACTGCCCTGCAGGTTCTGGTTCCTGAAGCTGCTGGCACTGGTGGGCCTCTGGGCTGCCAGCTTCTTCATCCCTGAGGACAACTTCATCCAAGGTGTGTTCCCCACCCTACCCAAGCTGCCAGCCTGGGCATCCCTCGCAGCCCCCACCTGCCCTTAGCTATCCCTACCTCTGCCCTCTCCCCCCAGCCTGGCACTACACGGGTGTCTGTGGGGGCTTCGCCTTCATCCTCATCCAGCTGGTGCTGATCACGGCCTTTGCACACACCTGGAACAAGAACTGGTGAGTGCCGGGGTACCGGGTGGGCGCCCACCTCCTGCCACCACTCACACACTGTCCCACAGGCTGACAGGCGCCGCGCAGGACAAACGCTGGTACCTGGCCGTGCTGCTGGCCACGGCTGCCTTCTACACCCTTGCCTCCGCCGCCTTCTCCTTCCTCTACAAGTTCTACACCCACCCGGCTGCCTGTCACCTCAACAAGGCACTGCTCACCATCAATGGCAGCCTCTGTGGCATCATGTCCTTCATCTCCATCACACCCTGTGTGCGACTCAGTGGGTATCTCACAGCACAGTGGGGGTTGCCGCACTGGATGACCAGCTGTGTCCTGGGTTAGGGGTGGCTGTGCCTCCCAGCTCAGGGCCAGCACTTGAGCTCTGGAGTAGAACCCAGCTCCCCAGGGCTCCTGACAGCCCCTCCTGTACCTTGGTGCAGGGCATTGGGCAGGGGGGTGGCAGGAGGGGGCTACCCAGGGCCCAAGCAGAGCTCATCCACCAGCTTACAGCACACCAGGGATTTCAGTGACACCTCTGTCCCCACCCTTGCAGAGCAGCCACGGTCAGGGCTGTTGCAGTCCTCGATCATCAGCTGCTACGTAATGTACCTCACCTTCTCTGCGCTGTCCAGCCGTCCCCCGGAGAGAGGTGGGTGCCCTTGCCTGCCACCAGCAGCCCCCGCCATTGGGGGGGCCCCCGCCTGTCTCACCTCTGCCTCCTCACAGTGCTCTACAAGGGTCAGAACCTCACCGTCTGCTTCCCGGGCGTCCGGCAGGATGAGCTACAGACAGAGGACACCACTGTGGCCATGCTGGGCGCTGCCATCATGTACGCCTGCGTGCTCTTTGCATGGTGCGTTTGCCCACAGGGAGCAGGGCCCCTGCAGCACTGGCCCAACCGACACCACACAAGGACCTCATTCCCATGGCAAGCAGAGCTGGGAATGTCCTGAGGAGTGGCAGGGCCAGAGCAGATGGGGCATTGGTGGGTGGGCAGGGGCAGCACAGGGACCCCAGACACAGCACAGCAGGGCTCCTGCAGCCATGGGGGATCCATGGGATGGGCTGAGGGCCTGGCACAAGGCAGTGTGTGCCCATGTTATGATTCCTGCCTCTCTCCTGGGCACAGCAATGAAGCCTCCTACCTTGCCGAGGTTTTTGGGCCCCTCTGGATGGTCAAAGTCTACAGCTTTGAGTTTGAAGTGAGTACGGATGCAGCTGTGCCCCATGCCCTTCTGCCACAGGCACCCCAGACCCACCACCCCAAGCCCTTATCACAGCCCCAGCATGGGGCAGGTCTGTCCAGCCAAGTACAGGCACTGGCCACAGCACACCCTCCTGCCCCAGTGCCAGGGAGGGCTCAGCCCTGCCACTGTGGCCATGTGGCTGGGCAGCTACCACTCTGCTGTTCCTGCAGAAACCCTCCTGTTGCTTCTGCTGCCCCGAGAAGATGGAGGAGGAACTGAGAGGTGGGTGCACAGTGGGTGCAGGAAAGCAGGCAGAACCTGTGTCCCAGCCTGGGGGTGCCAGTGAGGGGAGCATGCAGGAGCTGCCATGCCCCCACGCTCTCCCAGGAACCGAACAGACATGTGAGCAAGTGGAGGAGAGAGCCAGGGGACAGTTCATTGTCCAGGATGAGCAAGACCGGGTGGTCTACAGCTACTCAGCCTTCCACTTCGTCTTCTTCCTTGCCTCGCTCTACGTCATGATGACCCTCACCAACTGGTTCAGGTAGGGACCCACACTGCTGCCCAGCCTTCCCTGCTCTTGCTCCAGCCCTCTGTGCCAGGCCATGATGCTGTCACCAAGCTGGCGCCTGCTGGGGACGCGCAGGGCTCTGTGCCCACAGACCTGCACTGCTCCGGCCAATGACCAACAGCAGCCATGCAATGCAGTGAGGTCTGCAGGGCTGGAGGGTACACGGCAGGTGGGACATGCCCAGGGACACATGACTGCTGGGACACAGGGTGGCCTGGTGTCTGCAGCTGTCAGCATCCCTCAAGCACCCAACACCTGCCCTCTCCCCTCAGCTATGAAAATGCAGTGCTGGAGACCACCTTCACACATGGCAGCTGGTCGACCTTCTGGGTGAAGGTGTCCTCGTGCTGGGCCTGTGTCCTGCTCTACCTGTGGCTGCTGCTGAGCCCCTTCTGCCTCCACAGCTCGCCAGAGCACCAGCGCAGCAGCACGGGGCCACGTGTCGTGCGGCGACGACGTGCCCCACAGCGCATCAATGTCACCACATAGTCCCTGCCAGGATGAACTGTACCTGGGGCTGGTCCCTGCTGTGTGCCCTGTGCCTGGCCCTGCCTGGTCCTCCTGGCCTCCCCTGATCCCCCATCCTAGGAGATGGAGCATCTGAGAGTCTGAGGGGGTCCTGGAAGGTGAATGCTTCCAGGGACACCAGCCCTGTGCTGAGCCAGGACCACCCAAGGGGCTGGAGCAAGCCACAAGCAGGTGCTCAGCCCCCAGTCTGGATGCCCTGGCACCCACAGGGTGCACTGGGGGAGCAGGGCTCTGCCTGGCCACCCCTGCTGTGATGTGTTCACTGTAAATACCTCCTTCAATACATTTTTATACAAAACTCTGAGCTGAGTCTGTGCCGTCAGCCCATGCAGGCTGCAGCCACAGGAGGGAAAAACAGGGTGCCTGCAACACCCCACCACAAGAGGTGGCACCATGGAGAGGGAATGGCAGGGCTGTCCCAGCCTGACAGGGCACCCCAAGCCAGCAGCACTGCTGCAGGTGCTCACAGAGTCCAGTGCATGTGAGGGGCTCTGCCAGACACCTGTGCTGCAGGCAGGGCCCAGTGTTCACTGGGGAAGTGCTGCCTTGCTTATTCATGCCATGAGCATGGGCTGCTGGGCAGCCTACCTGGAGCCACCAGCACATCCCTCCAGGCCCTTTGCTGGTATGCACTGTGACGCTGAGTGTCCTTGGGGCCGGCGTGATGGAGGCAGAGGGGGCCTACACAGCCCCCGGGCAGCACTTGGCCATGGTGACCAGAAGCTCCTTGGGGCCGCATCGACCCCTGCTGCCGCCCCCAGGCCCACGGCTGCCTCTTCTGCGACACTAGCACCAACGACGGTAGCAGCGTGGTGGAGGCGGTGCTGCACCTCGCCCGGCGAGGAGCAGCCGGCTGCCGCGGAACCCGGCCCCGTGCTGCAGGGCCAGGCTGACGCTGCTGTTCTGACCCTGCAGGCAGGTTAAAAGGACGATGAACAACGGCCTCAGCGCTGGGCTGGACCTCGGCTTTGCCCCACGGGCGGCTCCGCACTGCTGCCGGACGTAGCGCGGGGCACGGGCGGCTACGGCTCGGCCCACGCCGGCCGTGCCGCAGCGCGGTTGTACCTCGGTGCGCAGGCCCGTCCGCCATCTCTCCACCGCCGCCCTCCGGCTGACACCGATCCCGGGCTGCGCCCTGGCCTGCTCCGGCGCCATCCCGTCCGCCTTCGCTCCTCGAGCCTCCCCGCTCTCCCACCCGCCCCGGGGCATTCGCCCCTCAACTGCGTTCCCCGCGTTGACCCCCGGTGATGCCCCAGGGACCGCCCAGGCCCAGCCTCCCCTTTGTTCCTCACCGTGAAGATGCCGCCGCTCCATCACCGCCGCGCTGAGTTCTCCTCTCCGCGGCCTCGATCGTTCCCGCGGTGGTGCCCGCTCCCCCCTCACCCCCCGCACGGCGGACGGACAGGCAGACACGGCGTGCAGGGCTCCACAGCTACTTTAATAGGGGACAGCGCCGCGCGGCGCGGCGGAGGGGCCCGACGGGGCCCGGCCCAGGGCGGTGCGGGGCATCCTGCCGGCGGGACCGGCCCCGAGGCAGCGGCCTGGCGCGGCCGCCCGCTACTTGTTGCCCTCCTTCTTCTCGTCAGCCTTCTTCTGCTTCTGCTGCATGATCTCCGAGTCCCTGCGGGGAGCGCGGCGGGGCTGGCGGCGGAGCCGGCACCGCCACAGGGCGGGAGCGGGGAGCGGGGCGGGGGAGGCCGGCGGGGCCGGCCCGGCGCTCACCTCTGCTTGCGGGCGGCGGCCGAGAGCCCGTCGTCCCGCCGCTTGCCCTTGCCCGAGTCGCTCTGCTTCTTCAGGTTCTTCTGCCGCGCCAGTTCGCGCTGGTTCCCGCCTGCCACGGCGCGGCCACCTCAGCACGGCCCGCCCCGGCCCCGCGGCGCAGCCCGCTTCGCATCCCGCGCCCACGGATTCCGCCGCCCTCCCGCCCCGGCCCAGCCGCTGCCCGCAGGCCGGGTTCCGGCACGGCACGGCACCCCCAGGCCGATCCCCCACACTCACGGGTCATGGCGCCGCTCCTTCCCACCTCCACTCCGCCGCCACGTCCCGCACTGACCCCCCCCGCGCCCCGCCCCGCGCCAGGCTTTAAAGAACGCCAGAGCCAATCACAGTGCCGACCCCACCCTCGCTGCACTCCCACTGGTGCGTCTCTCCGGCCAGGCCCCGCCTGATTGGCCGCGGGCTACGGCCGCCGTTCTGCCGGCGGGGCCGAAAAAGCTGGGCATGGGGCGCACGCGCCACAGCCACCCCTCGCGCAGGGGGCGCGGCGCGCACGCCCCTGTGACGTCACGAGCCGTGCGGAAAGCGCTGCGGAGCAGGGGGAGCGATGCGGGGCGGAGAGGAGAGAGGGGAACGCAGCCCCGCTCTTCCCCCCGTCCTCCCCCACCGCAACGCTCTTCTCCACCCCGGGGAGGGCGGGGCAATGCGGGGAGGACGGTGCGGGAGCGTTCCTCTCTCTTCGGTCTGGCTCCGGTGCGCTGCGGGGCCGCTCAGACCGCTCCTTCTGCCGTGGGTGGTGCAGGAGATCTGCGGGGAGAGATGGCCCTGGGTGCTACCCACGCCAAGACGGTGCGGGACGAGTATCCGTCTCCGCACAGCCCAATTCGCCTACGCACCCGGGACTCGGCGGCAGCATCGGGTCGTGGCGGGGGTCCTGCGAGGCGGTGCTAGATGGGGGGCTCTGACGCTTCGATAGCCGTGAGAGCTCGGCGTGGATCACCTGCGGGCGGAAGGGCAGCTGCAGCGGGCAGGGCTCTAGTGGGACCCCCGACGGTCCCCGATAGTCCCGGCTCCTAGGGGACCTCCTCCCGCCCGACTGTTCCTGACCGACTCTTGCGAGAACCCCTCCCGTCCCATCGCTGCCGGTACCAGCTCCTGCGGGACCCACCCACTCCTGCCCCGCACCTTGCTGGTCGGATCGAGCTCCAATGCCCTCCTCAGGACGAGCGTGGCCTCCGCGTCCCGGCCCTGCTCCGCCAGCAGCTACAGGCAGAGGAGTGGGGGGTAGCGGGCGGCTGGGCCGAGGGGCGCAAAGAGGGGCGGGGCGGGGCGGGTCCCACCTGCCCCCGCCGGAGCAGCGCCCGGCCGTTGTCGGGGTTGATTCGCAGGGCTGCCTCGCAGGCTGCTAGCGCCTCCTCCGCCCGCCCCACTTTCAGCTCGGCGGCCGCGCAGTTGTTGAGGCACTTCACGCGCTGCTCCTGCAACTCCTCTTCCTCCTCGGGCCCGGGAGGCGCTGCGGGGCGAGCGGCGGCGTCAGTGTCCCGGCCCCGCCACCCCGGGCCCTCCCTCCCGGCCGGCCGGTCTCACCGGTAACGGGACCATCCAGGGCGTGCAGGGCCAGCCGGTACGAGCGTAGCGCCGCCGCGAAGTCGCCCCGCGCGAAGTGGAAGTTGCCCCGCTCCCGGCGCTGCGAACCCAGGCGCAGGCGGGCGGCGGGCGGCAGCGGCTGCGGGTCAGGGCCGTCCCGCACCTCCAGCAGCGTCACCTCGAACAGCAGCGGCGCCTCGGGCGGCACGTCGGGCTCTCTGTGGGCACATGGCCGGCTGCCCCCTGCCCACTCTGCCTTCCCGGCCCCATCCACCTACCCCGGTCCGTCTGCCGTCCCGGCCCCTGCCCGCTCCAGTCCCTGCCTGATGGCTCCCCCTGCCCACCCGCCCTACCTGCCCGGGCGGCCATAGGCGTAGGGGCAGGCGGCGAGGAAGAAGGAGATCTCCCCAGGCTGCATGGTTGGGACGCCCAGCTCCAGCGCCTGCGGACGGGCATGGTGAGGCTAATGAGGCGCGGCACCGGGCGGCGCTGACCCTGCGCCGCACCGAACAGTGCACTGGTTTAAGCTCACCTGCACGACGTCCCCGTGGCCAGGCACGAAGGTGAGCCGCGGGTCCCGCTCCACTAGCCCGCCGTCCTCCAGGGCGCCCAGGACCTTCACCGACACCTCCTGCCCCGGCCGCGGCCGCGGCCCGCCCGGCCCGGCCCGCACCACGCGCTTCCGGAGCAGCCGGTCCTCTACAGGGAAGACGGCGCTCAGAGCCCAGCCGGGATCCCCGAAACTGGCACCCTTTGCCCGGCTCTCCCCAGTACCGCCCCTCACAGCCCGTGACTCCCGGCCTGGCTCGACCCGGAGTCGCCCGGGGGCTCTCACCCGTCAGGTCGCTCCAGCCGTCGGCGGCGAAGAGTGGCCCGAAGCCGCCGGGCCCCGGCACCGCCAGTGCCTCCAGACGCCGGTAGAAGAGCCGCTCCTCCTCGCGCACCGTCGGCAGCGCGATAGCCGTGTGGGGCAGCCGGAACCGCACCCGCCGGTCCCTGCCGGGCCCCCGCGGCCGCCCGCCTGCTCCTGTCTCCCTCTCCGGGGAGCCGCCGGGCGAGGGACCCGGCATGCCAGCCCCTGGCCTGCCTCGCCGCACGCCGCTACCAGCCGGCCTTGGTCCGGGCGCCCCCGGGGCTCGGCGGCGAGTGCCCACGGCCCCCAGCACGCACAGGGCGCGTCGCCGCCGGTTCCGCCGCGCCGCGACTGCCGGGGTCCGCCCGGGCCGGGGCCGCCGCCGAGCGCATCCCGCCGCGCCGTTACCTAATGCCGGGAAGCGGCTCAGGGGATTAGCCCGGGCCGGCGGCAAAAATAGCCGGCTCAGCACGAGCCCCGTCGCGGGGCTCCCGGCGCCCGCCCCGCCCGCCGTTGCCTCCCGGTGCCCCCCCGCCCGTCGCGCACACCGTGCAATGCTGCGGCCGCGGGCGTAGCTGCGCGGGCGTCTCCGGTACCGGGGCGGCGGGCCAGGCCCCTGGCTCAGGTTCCTGCACGTACACCTCGAGGCCGCGGCACGGGTGCTACGAGGTTGTGGGCGGCAGCAGCTGAGATCGGGCCTGCCGGGACGAATCGAGCACCAAGAGGGACTTACCGACGCTCGCTATTTTGTTGCAGAGAGCGCCGAGGCTGCTCTCTTCAACTTGCATGCAGCACAAGAATCCTGTCAGGGCAACAGCCCCTCCCTAGGTCAGCCCATCTCACTCCTGCCCTTCCCAGAGGAAAGTCCCTGTAGTCCCAGATGGTCAGTTACAACCCACACCACCCAACCACAACACCGGGTCTATTCCTCTCCCTCCTGAAGAGTAACTCACAGCTCCGAGCCTGTTTCCCACCAAGAGACAAAATGATCTTATTATTAACTGGTCTTAACTGCCCTCACCTCAGCCAAGCACCTGGCTATGAGAAACTCTCAGTCCCGGCCCTACCTGTGTTTGGGTAGTCTGTAGGAAGTAGCACTCCTCCCCTCCACCTGACTACTTCTGCACCAGCTTCAAAGCTCATTTATTGCTGCTGCTGAGCAGCCAGCCCCACGCCAGCCTGCTCCCTGTGCTTGCACTGCTCTGATCCAACAGTCACAGTGAGCACCACGTTCCTCTGAACACGCTGAGACAGCACATAGACAGCAAAGGCACTTGTGATCAGAGTCCAGAAGCCAAAAATGTGTATAAATGTAGCACCTGAAGCCCAGCACACTGGCATAGTTGCAGCTGCTATGTTCTGGAGGGACTGTGGTAGCTGAGGAAGGAGGAGAATGGGGTAGACGGCTGGGCTCAATGGTTAGGAACAGACGTGAGAGCTCACTGAAAGGAATGACTCACAGCAGGAAGCTGCTGTCTGTGAAGAGCAGGATCCCAGTGTTAGGTCTGGTGGGTCACCCAGGACAGAGACACTTGGTCTTAAGGGGGTCATTTTATTGTTTCACTTCTCCAAATGTACAAAAAAAATTAGAAAATAACTGTACCCCCCACCCTTCCCAAATCACAAAACAAACCAGTCTGGGGAGCCCAACAACAGTGCAGCTAAGAGACGGCAGGAAATTAAACATTACTAGATACAGCAGCTGAGGCCCATCAGCCCATTGGCTCTCCATAGCCCAGAACTGGCCCCAGTCTGCCCAGTGCTTCCCCAATTCACAAAGACCTCATCCTGACAAGACAGCAAGTGGGTACTTTACAAATCCTCCTTCACCTTCTTTTTGGATTTCTTAGATTTATCTTCCTCCTGCAGCACGGGAGTATTGGTTGCCTCCCGCTTCAGGTAGCTGATGAAGTCACTCACTTCTCTGCCCCCCTGCAGAAAACAGACAGTGAGGCAGGGCCTGTACCTGCCATGGGCTTCCCCTCTGCTGAGGGGGGTTCAGGTGCCAGGCAGGAGACCAGGTGACTGCAAGCAGAGCTCTCCCCAGGGCCTGCAGAATGCAGTTCAATGTTCCCAGCAGGTACCACCAGGTGTGTTCCCAGGGTAACAGGACACAGTGCCATCCCAAACTCCAGAGAGGCTTGAGTGTAATTTGGACACTTGGACGCTCTTCACTTCTTTAAAAAGTAGTAAGAATAACAAAATACTCACCTCATACTTCTTTGGACTTTGCTTCTTGCCAGCTGGAGCAAAATAGATGGTGGGGAAGCTGCGGAGAGAGAAGAGACACCTGAGTTCCTGACATGCTCTGATTTCTGTCAGACCAGCCCTGAAGGGGCTCGCACCCCACACTGCCCTGGTTTAACATGGCACAGCTTTGGCAGCTCTGAGGCAGTAGGTGTGGCCTCCAAGGGCCTGGCCAGGTCTGCAGAGGTCACAGGTCCAAGTTTGCTGACTGACTGCTTTTGGAACAGCAAGCCCAGATTTATTTTCACACTGCCAGGAGCAGAATCACAGCAGATTCCAAAGCAGCAGGACAGACCTCCCGGCAGAGCCAGGACACCAGAATCCTGGAAAATCCAGGCAGATCAATGTCCTTTTTTTTCCACTCTTCATTTCTCCAAATCAAGCTATTGCTCAGCAGTTGCATGTCAGTCCCCACACACCCCCTCCCCTGAGGCTCTTTCAGCTCTAGTGCTGTAGCCAATGGCAGATGGAGTCGGATCCACCCACTAACACATGGCATCAGAGCAGTCAGACCTACCCTCGGACTTCATAGGGAGAAGGCACATCATTGGCTGTAGCGTCCATTTTGGCAATGATGATATTGGGATCTTTGCTGAGCTGTGGATAGAATGAGCCCATCAGTAACCAAACCCAAACTCCAGGAACCCAGCAGTCAGCAACAGTTGGGACAGCAGTGTCAGAGGACAGCACACATGATGCCACCTCGCCATCCCTCCCCAAATGGGAGACTATCATCATGCAAATGGAAAAGATCCAAAAAGGAGCTTGGCCAGTTGAGGCCAGTCACTGAATCAGGGAACATTCCTATGCCAAGCCAAGGGCAACAGACTAAACCTACTACTGTGGTTGCTACCACAGATCCTGCTGACGGGATGTCTGTCTGCACTTACCAGAGATGCCAAAACTCAGTCCTCAGGAAGGCACAGTTACGTCCTGTTATCATAGAGGCTAAAAACAACCTGCAGGATTGTTTTGTGCTGCAAAATCCTAGTTCACTTTTGCAAGAGTCCCAGACCTACCTTCTCCCCCAGTTCTTTGTATTTGGGCTCCAGATTCTTGCAGTGGCCGCACCATGGTGCATAGAACTCTATCAGGACATCTTTGTCTTCTGCATTAACAATTTCATCAAAGTTCTCAGCTACCACCACCTGTAAGGTTTGGTCACATAGTTAGCTCCTTCCAAGTCAGGTACAGGCTGTGACATGACATGTTCCACACACTCCACCCAAGCCTGGGCCTCCCTCACCTGCACAGCAAGCAGCAAAACAACCAAACACAGCACTCCTCATCCTCAGTGTGCCAGTAAAAGTTTGCCATAACATACCAGGACTACCTGCAAGTGAGGTCTGCACATGGTCTCTTTGCAGGAGGAGGACAAAACCATTTCTTTTTAGTCCCAGCAAATTCCAAGCTGAGGAATCAGCGTAGCAGGGCCAGCTGAGGCCATGCCCATCCCCACAAACACAGTGATTCCCACTCCTATATGAGGGCCTCATCATAAAGCTGTGATAGGAAATGCTCTAACTCAGGGTAGAACTGCCTGGGAGGATGAGAGGCAGTCCCCAAAGATGAGATGAACACAAAGCTCCCTAAAAGAGTGCAGTCACAACCAACAGGAAGGCCACGCCACAAAAGGAGCACAAGCCAAGAGAGCAGGCCTAATCCCTGGCAATCTGGATGATGCTGCACTTGTGAAGCACATAGTTGTTGTGCTCAAGCAGCAGTTACCATGCTAAGAGAACAAAACAGAACCCAAACTGCAAGCTGCATGTCTCCCTTGCCTCAGAAAGCTGCAGTGCAACAAGAGAGCAAGTAATTCCTCCATCTATCACCGCAGAGGTTCCTCAAGCTGCCACCATGCCACATGCACAGTACTCCACACTGGCACTGAAGTTGCTGCTGAAGTTGCTGCTGAACAGTCTCCATATCCACATGCAGCACTCACCTTTACAGGGCCATCATTGCTTTCAGGGATAGGCTCTGATTTCAGGTACTTTTTCAAGTTTCCATCAACGTAATCTTGCAGGAATCTCTCTAGAGCCTTTCCATCACGGCTGAAAGAGAAATGATATTACAGCCATCATCACACACATAGGATGAGAGAGGGAAACTTTCAAGGCTGATTTAAGCTCCTTCCACCCACACAACAGATGCCACCTGCATCTCTGACAGCACCAGTCTGGGCTGACTTAGACCCCAGAACAAGTACACAGAAGCCCTTAAGGGCTCTGACAGGAGGCTGGATGCACATCCCATTTGAAGTTTCAGGTTTCTAGCACCCTTAGGTTTATTTTTTCAAGATGAAAGGTACAACTATTTCCTTTGCCTTTTATTGCACCCTAGTGCCTAACCAGACACTTCAATACCTTTGTTTAAATTCCCCCCCCTTTATGTAACAGGAAGGGCTTCAAGCTCTCTAGAGAGGAGGAGCCATTTTGACCCAGCAATCATTTCTTCCAACCATTATCATTCAGTTTTCCTATTTCCTCCAAGTTAACAAAGTGTCATCTGGTCAGAGACTTGCAGACCACAGTCCATCCAGTGAGATCCAACACTAGAAGTTCAAGAACTCACGAGAACTCTTCTTGCATGACGTATTTATCTCCTTTGGCAGTTCTGATGGCAACAACTGGGGCCTCACCCACGCTGCTGTCCAGACCAAACTCGGAAAGCTCATGACCAAAGGTTTTCCGACTAGCAACAGCATAGGAAAGTTTATGGCCAGCATCCAAGAATTTCTTTGCAACCATCATAATTCTGAAAGGAAAAAATAAACAAAAAGACAAAGCATTATTTCTTGGAACATCTTCTTAGACATGATGTAACATGGGCACGCTGGACAAGGAATTCAGTGGCACAGTGTGCTCTGCAGAGCCCTGCAGAAATGGTCCGAGAAGCAGAGCAGTAAGCTTGTGTCTATGGTGACTGAGGTAAGTGTTGTGTGTTTCCATCCTCCACCCTGACCGCATG